ATGTCAGAGAAGAAGATGACAGACAGTGGGAGTCTCAGAGGAGAGGGGGGGGGGGGGGTTATTTAATAGCAGTGTATAGCACTAAAACTTAACTACTAAACTTTAACTGCACTAAAGAAAACTTCATGTTGCTGCTGTTAAATTGATTCAGCCTCCCTACAGAATACATTTATGTATATTGCTAACAGGCAGAGAGATGTTGGGTCAAACTGCTGCTTAATTTTTCATGGTTTCAATGATATTCAACCTCTAACAAACTTCATGGTCTCTGTACAAATATGATACAGATTTTGTTTTGTGCGATGTGAAAATCAAATATATCTGACATGAATTTAATGAGAGCTAAGAAAGAAAAAATATTTCTTTGTCCACTTTTCATAATTATTTTTTATTCAACCCTTAATATAACCCTGATTGTTTCAGCCCTGCAATCAATTTTTCTCTCTCTCTATATGCTTTGGAAACACACATTCTATTGTCTTGCTAATAAAGCCAATTATAATTGAAAAGTGTAAAAAAAGGAGAGCAAGATAACATCTCATTTCCATTTCCAAAAGAAGAGATTATTCAGACTCTCTTTGGTGGAACTTTAACGTGGCATAACTCTCACAGTGTTCATTGTGTGTCACTTTATATCACTGAAGTGAGAGACACATAACAGATGTGATATTAACAATGGAAAAGACCATCTATACACGCTCATCGCTTATCTGTGTCAAGGGAGCACATTATATATTGAAATGCTTCTTAGTGTTATTTATATCGTGCCCAGTAAGAGCCATGAGCCTCGGTGACAGTGAGCTCCAGATACCCTGCACTTCACCTCTAAACCCTCTCAGGGTACACGTCGTGCCCACATCACACAGAGGCAGTAATCCACTTTAATGCCATAAGAAAAGAGTTACAGTTCTGACACGCTCCATGTCCCGAAAGGCAGGGTGTGTCTGGAAGATTCTGACTTGGGGGGGGGGGGCAGAGATTCAGATGGGAGGGCTTGGGTTTATTTGATGGATCGCTGCAGTGCCCGTTTGGGATGAGGCCATGTGGAGCGTTTGCTTGTTGGAAACAGAGCGATTGGAGTTCACTTTAAAGTGCCAGATGGCAGTATCAAATACAGGACAGGTGTAGTGGTGGAGCTCTCATTAGAGGACCCTTATCGCTCCTATCTATAAAGTATTTTTAATTGGGAATATGAACGTAAAAAGGGTAGACAATTAAAAGTGTTCCGATGTGTCCTATTAGCCTGGAACCAACTCTGAGAACATTCCCACAATAATGGTCCTTTTTATAAGGGCAGCATACAATAAAGTAAGTATAGTTTATTTCTGGAGCACATTTAAACACAGCATGAGCTTATCAGAGTGCTGTATGAATGAACATTAAAGTAATAAGTGGAAAAAACTAAGAGAACATACCAAGTACAACATAAAAAGCAAAATACAGTAGAAGAAAACTGTAGAAATGACAACAGATTGAAGGATGGCCATAAATGTGTCTTAGCCTAGATCTCAAATCTCTGGAAGTTACCATTTGGACACACACAACACGTTTGTGATCAGCTGATTGGTTCACATCCTTTACCTTTATATTTTGGGTCTCAGAACCACTGAAAGACATTCCTGGCCCTCTAGCTGCTGATGGTTCCACTTTGTTCACCGACGACTGTCACTTTCTGTGTCTGTCTGCCCTTTGATCCTGAGCAGGTTATGTACATTGGGTTCCAAGAGCTTTTTAACCAATAAGCAGCTGCCTGTCGAGGCCAAAAATGACCCTTTGAGAGCGGTAAGAGGGAACAGTAAAGCTGCGATATGGAGAGCCAATTAGCTGAAGCTGCCTATAAAGCTTTATAAAGCTAAGAGGAGCTGCAGATTCAGGCATATGGCAGTTTTCCCCAAAAATATATGTAGCTGAGACATTACCAAACTATGGTTTCTCTTATCTCTTTAATAAAAAAAGGCACACTTTTTTAAGGTAATGTCAAGCAAAATAAACTCAGATTTCTTCTTGTCTGTTCTTAGTAGGGCTGCACGATATTTCGTGTCGTGACGATAATCGCGATATCGCAGGACTTCGATTTACATTTTTTTTCTTTTAGGACTTGCGATATTAAGTAGCCAAATTAACTCAAACACGTCATGTTACAATTATTTTGCTGCTTGCTACAAAAGTAAAACTTGTGCGGCTCTCATGTCAGGGGCGGATCTACCGGGGTGGCATGGGGTGGCAACTGCCACCCTAAAAGATAGCCTTGCCACCCCAGTTGGCATCTTTGTTTTGAAAGAAAAGTTGTGGCTCATCGGACATTTATGAGAGAAAATCTCTAATGTCCGAGTGCAAGTGAATGCAGCACAAGACGCGAGTCTTGTAACCCCTCCCCCGGCCCTGGCGCGAGCTTGGAAATATGATTGGCGGCGATTTCATTTGAACGGGGGACGGCGCAAAACCAGAAGCATTCGGATCCAAGCAGACGGAAGGAATGAGGTATTTGCGGTCTACAATGACAGAGAAGAGACTGTCAAGTTTGGTTGTACTCAGCATGGAATCAAAACGCACTAAAGCTGTTGATCTTAATAAGTTTGTGAGGCGTTTTGCTGAACAAAATGGTAATCGCGGCATTCAGCTGTAATAGGCATGCCAACTTGATGCTCTGCTCACGGATGACTCGATGGGCATAAAAAACTGCCCAGCCAAAAAAAGTAACCACTTTGATTTAAGGCCAGTAGGTAAGGACTTTCCACTGGATAATAACTGCAGCGATGTATATGTTTTAGCTGAATACACATTTTGTAACCCTAACTGATGCAGTTAGTCACTTCTTTAATGTTTGTTCTTTCTGATGTAAAGTCAAGGTTGTAACTGCAGTAAAGTTGTGGGGCGCTGAACTGTTCCTTTGAATCTTTTGAATTTTGATACATGATATAATTACCTGTCTTTCAAATTTGAAGGAGGGTGAGCAAGCATCTTGAGGAACATTCATCATTAACTCCTCCAAAAAATATAGTTTATTCAATAATAAATGAATATGTGAATCATAACAGGGATTGACAGCTGATAGGAATAATATGATTGTTAATAGTATCATATTCATCGACAAACATCGATGAGACAGTTAATGAATGCACTTATTGCAGCAGTCTTCATAGATTTGGCACCTGCTGGTCTAAGAGTGAGACAAACTCATTCAGTTATTGTTCAGTTAAAATTCATTAAATTAAGTCTGCCACCTTATATATTTATACGTAAGGCTTTACTGATGTGCCACAATAATGCCACCTAATGTTATTGAGTTAACATATAAATATTATGGCTTTCCAAGTTAACATTGATTGATATGACTGCGATTAAATCAGCATATACTTCTGCCAGGGGATGCCACCCCTCAAAATCTCCTGCCACCCTCTTGCCACACCATGAATATTTGTCTAGATCCGCCCCTGTATCAGGGGTACTTGAGTGAGTGACAGCAAACCACCAATCACAAACAAATCTCCAAAGCAAACGGACCCGGTGATTAAAGGTAAAACACTGAATAAAGTCGTTTCATGTGTTTCTCCAGGGCAGTTCGGCGCTGCTAACCGAGCTAGCTCAGCTTGTTGCTCTGATAACTTAAGATCCAGACGTCCGTGACTAAAATGCTTCATCCGGTTAAATATAGTTAAAATAATACCAATTGTATAGCATTAAAGTTCAAGAAAGGATGGTTTGCGGGAAAAACTGTATTTTCTTCAATTCCTGTTTGCTTTCATATCGCAATATATATCGAGACGGGGGAAAAAAATCGCATAGGCAGTTTTTTTCCAATATACGTGCACGCCCTAGTTCTTCAGTCATTAGTTATTGACCGCCTGACTGGGATGGATGTATTTTGTGACCTCTGGATGATTAGAGGGCAAGAGTGACGTCACGGTACAAGTATGAGAGCGAGGGAGTTGTGTTGTTTGTGTCAGTCGACTCCGAAGAGGAGCGAGAACAGCGAGAGAGAGACGAGAGACAGGGCATTCATCCCCTGCCTAATCGCCC